TCGCAAATATCACCTGAATACCTATTAGATATTAACCAGCGGGTGCACCGTGAATAGTGGAAGTTGATGCCCCCTCGATTCTGACCTTGTCCCCTCCTTTCGGGTGGACGTGGACAGGCGCGACCCATTCCCGCATCTATATATTTCTTCTCCATTAGATTCGTTTCACTTCCAACTCACGTCACTCTCAATCCGAGCGCGACGCGTCACACCGCGCTCAGCGCCCTTGGCGCTCCTGCCTCCTCTCCCCCTTCTCTCTCTCTCTCTCTCTCTCTCTCTCTCTCTCTCTCTGCGCCCTATCTGCGCCCACCTCTCAGCTCAACCTCCTCGCATTGAGCTCTGTTCCCCTGCAGTAGAGCGCAACAGAGTCAATAGGATGTCTGAATCTCGTCGGATAGCCCCAGGCGAGGCTCCGGACCGCGGGATTCCGAGTCTCCAGCCTCTCCGGGCCCGGCCTCCTGGGAGGTAGGCCGCGCAGCCCACCGTGCGCACCAGCGCGCAACGTGTTGCCTATCCCCGGTTCCACAGGCGCTTCGCTCCGAGTAGCGAACTACGTCGCATCACCTCACCTCACGGCGTGGAAGTTGAAGCATTTGGACTATACGAGCATTAGACCAGAAGGTGTATCGAAGAACTGTGAGGATTTTAAGAGATTGTCATATTACTGCACCCTAAAAATATGCAGCATGTTGTGAAGCATTTTTTTTCCTACCGCGCGACCACATTTGCTGGTGGGCGTGGGCGACGCCCCTTTGCCCGACCACTGCGCGCCGTTACTACTGGCGACTACGGGGGTTATGTAGGGTTTTCGGAGAGCGGGCGAGTATACACTTTTATACATCATCGAGCACTGACTAAGGAGGGCCGCGTTGAAAGTTTCGCACCTGCACAGTCAACATATAGCGCGGCGCTGCAACAAGCGGGGCGTGGCCTTTTTCGGCGCTGCGGTCCGGTGTCGTGTTTCGGCCACCAATTACTCGAGAGTGCAGCGGCCGCAGGAGTTTGCACACGGCCCGGAAGAGGGGGGCTGCTCTACCGGCATCAGCAGTTGTGGGGGTGGCGGTGGGAGGGACCTTCATCAAGAGCGCATCCCTCACGCACGGCTGAGCACTGCCCCCCTCCCCCGGTCAGCTGCTGCTGGACTGAGGCCGACCGTGTCCGAGAGCAGCGGGGTATGGGCGCCTCGCGCTCCCGGCGGCAGTTTGATTGCCAAAGAGAAAGTTCAAAGCGCGCAGCTCAGGGGGTGAAAATCATAGAAGGGGGGAAAAAACGGCATGCGATGATGATCCGGCCCGCTCCATTTTCCTCGTCCGAGCCTGTTGTAGGACAAAGTTCTGCTGACGAAAAAAAAAAAAAGATGATTAACTACGTATGAAGCTGAGTGAAGTTGTTTTGGGCCAATCTTGGTGTTCGTCTTTCTGCGCCCCCGTTACGCTGGTCGCGTCGCCCTGCGGTGCGCGCAGCGGCGCGGGCGCGGGCGGGGAGCGCTACTCGGCCCGGGCACGTACTCGCGCGGCCTCTGGCATCCGAGTGCGTCCTACTGAACTCGGAAAGGGGGGGAGGGGGGGAGGAAAATGTGTGAAGAAGGCGCGCAACCGAGGGCGCGAGTAGATCTGTAAACAGGGCACAGTCACGCTCCCGATGAGGCAAGCAGCAACAGTGTGCACGCAGAAAAAAAAATCGTGGCTCTGACAAGTTTTTAGCAATGGGGCTAAAAAATTAACTGAATAGACTCGGCTAATTTATTTAGCACCAGGGTTAGTTTTTAAGCCACCCAGTAAACCGCACCGTTTATTACCTGTTTAGCTAATGCCACTCTACAGCTAAATATTTTTACATCCAGCTAATTTTTTTGCGCGGGTGTAAAATTGTGCAGTTGAACCGATTTGCACGGAACTGAATTTTTTTTTTCTGCGTGTGCCACGCGGGAGGCACGCGTACGGCAGCCGCGCGTCTAAACCAGATCGGCGCGTAGGGGGATCTGTTCTGTGTAGCGGCACCAGCCAGCCAGCAATCGTAATGGGAATCCGAACTTAGTCGCTTTCGGTGGCGGCAGTCGCTTTCATGCTCGGCGGTTGTTGTGTGGCATACGGGTCGGGCGGCTGTGGGGAGGTCTCTTTCGCAAGCGGACACAGACCACCTCCGGACAGAGTTGATTGGGGGCACGATAGAGAGGGAACGAGAATCGAAAAGCTCGTCGAAAAGCACACTGGAAAAAACAAACGTGTGAAGTTTTCACCTTTCAAGGATTTTTGAGCCTTTACAAGCTGCCGAAGCAAACAACAGACAAAAAGTATTTTCCGAGGAGTATCAAGGGCAGTCCGTGAGTTGCCGCGAGTAAGTTAAGCGAGTTTCGCGAACGCGAATGCTGAGTTTTCAGCGAGTATTTTCGCGTTATTTACTGTGATGTTTTTTTTTCAAACATTGGGGGACCTGTTGGATTATTGGGGACTGTCAAACTATTGGATTTTCATAGTATGGGGCCGGAATGTCAAATGTGTGCGTGTGCAAAATGAGATAAAAAAGAAACGAGAGGTGGGAGAGTGTCTCCTGGGTGCTATTCCTCTATGAATTTTAAGTGGTCCGTCGTGATCAGCCACAGTGTTGGGGTGGGGACGAGAGGGTCTGACACGCCGGTAATGTCTTGCGAACATTTTGTTTTTACCTTCCACACTTTTTGGGTGTTTTGAAAGGTTGCTCGTGTATAGGTGAAGCTGCTGCTGGGAATGGAACGATATTTTTTATGTCTCTTTTTGCTGGATGTTGTAGGAGAGGTAAAAATAACGGAGGGCAAG